GTTCCCACTTTACTGTGATTGTGTAATTATGTGAAAGCCCCAATAAGATATTGGCTATAAAGTGTTCCAGTGTAGTACAGTGAACCCAAATGCTCCCTCTCTCCCACAGCCGCTGTGACAAGCTGAGGTTTACGTGATGTCCCAGGAGACTCCGAGAAATGGGCCGACTTGCAAAAGCAATACCACTCCAGCCAAGAATAAATCACTGAAACCTGAAAGCTATCAGAGTTAGCGGTTTGCCAGGCAAAATGATTATGGGATTAATGTTTGGGGGAAGTGTGTTTTTGCACCATCAGTCACAGAAGCGATTAAATGTAAAACAAAAACCTACAACAAGAAGTGACAAGGGGAGGAAATTAGAAAGCTGACGGCCGTACAAAAGTTATTTAGAGGAGATGACTATGGCTTGAATGAGCAGCTTCTCCGTTCACCTGGTGCTGTGTCATCTCATGCAGATAATAAACGCTCCTGCATATGTTCTGCTGGAGAAGTTAAGCTGAGAAACTACATCTGTCATGGTGTCTTCTCTTACATTTGATTGATTTCCTTGCAAAGTCTTGACTTAGATTGTGGCTGCTACAACATTTTCTGTGCAAACACAGACATCAACAGTTTTTTTTTTTTCAGAAAGGCCTACTCCTGCCTGGACAATTTATCAAATCAAATCAAAATGTATCTATATTGCACTTTAGAAACAACAACTTGTTGACCAAAGTATTTCACATAAAAAATAAAGTTAAATAAAAGGCAAGAGTTTATAAAAACATTAGATGAGGAGACATGTCGACTCCACTATGTTCTAAAGGATGAAAAATAAATAAGTCTTGAGCAGTGACTTAAAGACTGGCAGATCTGTTGCAGATGTAATATTAACAGCTAAACTGTTCCACAGTTTTGGGGCCATTACAACAAAGGTGCGATCACCCCAGTGCTTGTGCCTAGCTCTTGGTAGAAGAAACCAATTTGAGGCCCTCGGGGATCGAACTGGCTTGTGCCACTATAGGAGTTCAGTGAGGTAAGAAAGGGCCAATTCATTAAGTGCCTTAAAAACAAATAACAAATTAAAATGAATTGGAAGCTAATGAAGAGAAGCCAGAATGGCAGTTATGTGGTCATGTGAGTGAGCTGCCGCGTTTTGAACCTGCTGGAGTACAGTGCAGTATTCGAGTGTAGAGTTGATGAAAGCATGGACTGCCATTTGAAAATCAGCAAACAAAAGAAACGACTTCACTTAACAATCAGCTGGAAAAAGCTGACCTTCACCACCGAACTGATCTGATTATCAAGTTTCATTTCAGTATCAAATAATACCCCCCAAATTTTTGACCAGGGGTTCCAAGCGTGGAGACAAAATCAAGATAAAGGTCAGTGACAGGACCTGAATTGCCAAACAACAGAGTTTTATTTCTGTTAAGATATAAAAAGTTTAAAATCAGCCACATTCTGATGTTCCTCAAACAGTCAAGCGGTGACTGTAGTGAAGTACTTCTCCTGGATCTGGATGTTTTAAACTTAGCAATGACTGAAAAATAAAGACAACTCAATGGAGGACTGTTGGTGACAAACACACCAGGATTGTAATTTAACACTAATTTTGGATGAAAAACAGGAAATGCAGCTGCTAGCTTAGGTTGTAAATAGTTGTGTTGCGGGGGCACCTTTCTTCTCACTGTCACTCTTCCCACACGGTTACATGTACTGATCGAGTTTGTGTTTAATTCATTGGTACAGACACACAAACATTTTCATCCAAATATAGAAACCTTTTTATTTTACAGTTGCCAGCAAAAATATCATACAATTCCAGTTTAATTGTAGTCTGTTAAATATCTAAATACACTTTTACAGTTGCAATGTCAGTAGAAAAAAATATTTTATGAGATACAAAATGTACACTTTGCACACACGTACACACCATAGTGTGACTGGCCGATGCTGGCTGCTGACATTAAAAACCTTTGCTCTTATAAAATAAGATTTCTTTACATTGCTCAGGAAATGTTAGTACGAACAATAAATACATCATGGGGGAAAATTGTTACAAACAAAAGGATTTTGAAATCACGATGAAACGCAACACATTTATCCCATTCACTGTGGAAAAGTATTATGGATTTTGCACACTTAGACTATAGTTTAGGACACTGTGGTATTTAGGAGATATCAATTTAGTAATGAGGGGATTTTAATACTGCACCACAGTGGAGAAAGCCAGGACAGAGCAAATGTAAACTGTCGCCATGACGCTAGACCCCAGTTACAGTTTGATGTAATAAAAACATGCAATGCAAAAGTACAATGTACTCTGAGAAAAAGAAAAATCATCACAGGCTTATTCAGTTCAATTCAGACTTTACTTCAGGGGATACAGTTAGCAACATCTTGCTCAATAGCTAAGGGCAATTTCTGCAGAGAGCTCATTAAAGTTCCATTTCTGCAATGAAAATAGATTTCTCTCTTTTCTAAAGCTCAATGAATGATCCTGTACATCGTTGCTCAGAAGATGGATTTTGTGTAAAGGCACAGAGGTTTAAAAACACTATGACATCATCTAGTTTGCTCCAGATCCCATGGTCCCATCCCACAGAACAGTTATCATCATCTGCACTACTGAATTCAGGGGCAGATCTAGAAAATTTTGGACAGGGTTGGCCAGGCTGGGGCACAGAGTCAGAGAGGGGTGGCACATTTGAGACACATGTAAAAGTAAATTAAATCCCTAATTCTATGGAATAATAATGCTAATCAAATTTTTTGTTTTGTGTTAAAATGAGACACATGCAGTAGTGCTTTCTTTAGTTAACTTTGGCTGCGCTTCTTTCTCACTCCTGGCCAGGGACATCGCTGATGCACAGTGGTCCCCCCTCCACCAAGGCAAATCAAACTATGTACCCCACATCAATGCAATCTGAGACATGAATGCAAATATCATGCTCCATGCCGGATACAAAATCAAACTAATTTGATCAATATCAATTACAAAGCACCAGAAAAATGTTAGTTATATTTAAGGCATTTTCATTCTTCTTTAATTAGCACTGACAAGCATCAGACTTCGACTCTGGCACCCCTTGGCTCTGCCCATGGGTGAATTCAAACAGAGACAGCTGCACTGACTGAAAACCAGCCCGAGGACGTGAGAGTTGGGGGATTAACACACTAACAGTATGGTCACAAAGTCTGCAGATAGTGAGCTCAGCCAAAAGTAGGTACTGCTACACCTTAGTCAGCTAGTGCTTAAAGCTGAACTAATGATTTTTTTTTTTGTTCACTTTACGACAAGCTGGCAGGCACAGCCTTGACACTGTCACCTGTTGGAGTAAAGTTACTGTTGCTATTACCAGACTTTATTTTGTGAAAACAGCTGAGTACTGCTGAAGTCAGACTCAGCACAGACTGAAGCAAATAGTCAAAGTGTCATAAAACTAAACTTGCAGGTTTAAGAGCGGCTCAAATGCTGAGTTCAGTGAGTTAGGGCCAACCAGATGTTTCCAAACTGTTCTGCAGGAGGGACATGGCAAAATAAAAACAGGAAGAGAGACTTCATCTCTCAACCAAAGCTATTTACATTTGAACCAGTGTCTCATTTCAGCCCAGAAAGTTGCCTCGTGTATCCCTCTACACAACTTTACCCACAAGTCATATTTAACAGTCCTTCACATGACTGAACAGCCCAGATCACACTACTGATTCAAACGGGAATTGCTTTTAAAACACCATCACCGTGATTGTGTCAAAGAAAAGAAGAAGCCTTGAGTCAGGGTGTACACAAAGGTCAGATGTGTGTTTGGTCCTGTATGGAGACCTGGCTAACACAGTGAATGTGAGGCAGCAGGCGCCTCCAACAGTGTGTCAATGTTGTCCAGGTGTGTAGCTTGAAGGTCAGGAGGAAAATGACACAAAGAAACCTAAACTAAATTTAAAGCTCTCTGCTCTGAGTGCAGTCGATGTATGTAAAACACAGGGAAACTGTGTGAAAAAGACAAAAGTTTCTAGCTTTTAATCTGAAAGTGCATTTTGTTGAGATTAGGCCTGTACCAGCCATAAACCCACTAGTACCAGCCATAAACCCACTAGACCAGCATGCACTGAGTCTTGCTTGGAGGGGTTTCCAGTGGATTCCTTCTTCAAATAAGCAGTGGATTTGTTTTTATAATAATACACATTTCTATTTTTGATACATTTTTAACTGATGGTTGTGATGTTTGGACACACATGATAAGATAGTATCACGTAGCATTTTCCATTTTCAGTGTTCAATAGTCTCATGGTAGCCAAAATATTGAGTCTTAAGGGTAAATTATTATTCGACTATGCTGGAAAGTCCTTGTAGTCAACAGTTAGAAACAGCAGAACAAAAACATTGCCACAGCAACAGTGCTGCTGTTTGCCATCTCTGATCTCCACATGTGGGAACAACTCAGGGTTATGAAGCAAAGTCTGGAACTGTTTATCAGTGATGAACAGCGATAGTTCGGCCTCAACACATGGAGGTTTAAAGTGATAATGATAAACTGTACAATCCAGATTTTCTGACAACACATCTGTTTCCTGCTGTTACATGTTCGTGTAGAACATCTGGAAAGGTCTCAGTCTGCATGCTCAAAGGTACTCAGTGCAAACAACCTTTTGTTTTAGTCTGCAACTGAATATTAAGCTCCACCAGAACATAACACCTGGATCGGATGATGAAAATGACACTGTACACTGTTCTGCTTCACAAAACCAGATCAGAGAGTGGGTGCAGGCGACAGACCAGAACATCATGTTAAACAGTAGTTCAAACTAAATCGTCAGCTGAATCACAGGATCGAAACAAAAGATTTAAAAAATTCCCATAAAAACACTTTGGATTGAACAGGTGGGAAAAGGTCAGGAGAGCATATGGTGGACAAAATCTGGTTATCTCTGTTCACAGCCAGCAGTTCTGTGTGTTGCTTCAGAAGGTCATGCATGAGTCACAAAGTCAGCGCTGCCTTCAGTGTCCAGGTCATATCGCGTTCGATTCCAAATGAGACTACAGAGAATCCACTGTTGGAAAAAATATTCCCCGTTTTTCCAATCACTTCCTGAATTGTTCCCTACGCTCCTCTGGACATTCTGGACCACACACACTTTCTGCAAATACACACTCTGACATCTAGTCCTCTCCCAAAAGGCACTAAGATTTCATTCAAGTTTATCATTACACAAGTGCTTAATGCTTTTAAAACCCCCACCTTCATCTCAGCCCCAGAGCTACCGCAGCGAGCCTGTCCCTGCTCTCTCCTCCTGCTCACACTATACACTAAAGTGATGTGTCAGCTCGGCACCCGGTCAATAAGGCGGCTCTGCTGTGATTCAGCTGCCCTGCCAGTCACAGAGGAAGTCAACCAGTCACCCAGCCAGGCAGGCAGTAAGGCCAGCAGGCGTCAGTCTGTTGTCCTGCCCGCTGCTCCACATCGTGATGTGACCCCACGCTCGGCCATCTGTGGCCAGAAACTGATTGGGAAGCAGCAAAGGGTGTACAGAAAGCAGGGGGAGACTCAGAGGTGTGGCAGCTGCTTCTGCCCCCACCACAACTACCATAACAACAAAAACCCTTAGCCAGTAGAAGCTGGACTGCACAGACCCTGGCATTAGGAACACTCATCTCTGACAAATAGAAGAACACAGCACAGTGACAAACCAGCGAACAAGTCATCACTAAATGCAGCGAAGAAAGGAGAGAAATGGCAGGAAAGGGAGCAAGGAGCATGCAAAAAGTGGTTGTCTCCTTCCTTCACACTTTGTCACCTTCCACCTGGTAAATTCACAGCACCTCTGACCACATCGACCACAGAGAGGAGGAGAAGGAACCAGGAGACTACAAGCCCACTGGGGCTGAGAGACATGAGCAAGGGGAAAATGAGGGAGGGAACAGAGGCTGGATGAAGGTTGTAAAGGAAAATCAATTCACCAGGTGATTTTCAGAGTGGTTCCGCCTGACTTCACCCAAGCGTCAGGATGACTTGGCTCAGTTGGAGTCCCCCCAGGGAGGCTGTCAGAGCTGGAGAAACATAAGGCGATCTGAGAAGGAGAATGGAGAAGGTGGCCAAAGATGCAGTCATGCAGGCAGAAAGAGACGGATGTACAGGCAGAAGCAGACCAGGAGAAACAGGAGGGGGAGGTGGAGACAGAAGATGGAGGTAGACAGAGAGAGAAACTGTACCAGGGAGTACTGTGGGAATGAAAGTCGACAGATAGGGGCAGAGAAAATTTGAAATAGACAAAAGGAATGAAAATCAATCAAATAACCAATCAACATCAGGAAGTAGACAGACCCGCTGCCACACACTGCAGTGACAGAACAAATACATCTCACACAGTCACTCTGAAACACAAACCCATCCATCAGTCTTTCCTCTCAAGGATATGTTTCACCAACTCCCCCCACCGTATCCCATCCTGCCTCACTCTGAGCACCCCAGACAGAAACAGCTGTCTCGCTGGCGACAGGTAAACGTGGAACCAGGGGAAAACCCCATTTCGCAGCAGCGGCAGATGCACGTCTGTGTGCATCAGGAGTCTTTTCTCTTAGATGCCACGGGGCCTCAGTTGGTGCCCCGGTTGAAGTGCTCCAGTACGGTGGAGTTGGTTCTCTCAAACAGCCACTGCTGGCTGGGAGAGGAGGGGTCACACGTGTTCATGAAGATTCGCCGCTCGCTCGCGCTACTGTCGATGCAGCTGTTACTGACCAGGTGGTACAAGCTCTTATCCTGGGGGAAGAAGGGAGAAAGAAACAGGAAGAATAGTTCAAACTTTTTTCCATTTTAAAATCTTCCGTAGAAGGGCCAGATCACCCTGTGGGTTTTAGCTCACTGTCTACGAATGAAGGTTTATATTCCTTCACAGCATCAAGCTGTGTAGCCCCAGTTTCTTTGTAGGAATGTTGGTGGTGCATTCAATTACCCAAGATTTCAGGACATGGCATTTTAACCCCCCCGTTTAGCATTTTTAATCAGAATAAACAATTTAAAAATGCTCATACACATACTAATAGATGTACAGTATTTATAAAACAATAATTACAGATGTAAGGGTTGGTTTTAAATGTTACTCTATTTGTCACAACTTTAATTCCCTTCTATGAAGCAGCCTTAGCAGATTGTTTAAAGTGGGTTTAAAATAGTTTCACACCTACCTGGGAGAAATCTGTGTATGAACTAAATGTTTTCTAAGAAACTATTAATGTAGTTACACATCAATAAGTATAATTATGCATACAGTATACCGGTGTATTAGTCATTCAGTTTCTATTACAGCTGCAGATGCTTCACAGGAGAAGTTATAATTACTGACAAATTAATTTATATACACTGAAAAATATCATCTTTGCTTACAACCACATTAAAGTGTGTTATAAACAGTAATAAACGACCCAAACAGACGCTGTGATATGTTCAGACAGTCGGACACCACCACTGATTTAATTCCTGACACAATTTTTGAGTACCAACCAAAATATGCTGAAATTTACCTGAACATTTTATGTACTGCATGATCCTGCCTTGTTTGTGTCACAGCATTAAGTCCTAGAAATGCTACAAAATTACTAATATAGCCTCCTGTATGGCGTTTCTGTAATAAATGGGCTTAAATGCATAACAGGAGCATAAAGAGGTCTATAAATGTGTCAGCCTCGAGACTCTGTTGATTAAAAAGCCTTGAAGCCCTTTATTTTGAGGTGTTGTTTTGCACAGAAAGAAAGAAAAGGGAGATGTTCAGAAAAGAGAGACTGACACACAGAATTTGGGGTCTGACACCTGTGTGCGTGTTCTTTTGTCATACCTCTCTGTAGCGCCACAGCTGGTTGCCCTTCATGCCGTGACAGTCATACAGGGTGACGGGGCTGCTGTGGGAGATGGCGTCAAAGCAAACTTTTTTAGTGTGCATGGGGTCGCCCACCCGGATGTCCTCCCTCCAGCCAAATGTGAACACCTGCAGGGAACACGTCTCTGCTATAACATCGTTTTGTTTTCTCATTTAATGACTAATAAAATACCATTTCCACAGCAAAGGAAAACAGAGACTACTGAGGGGACTGATCAGTGACTTGTGCATCAACTTATCCAGCTTCATTAAACCAGACCAGGGGGAGATGCAGCACCAGAGTCAGATAATCTGACTGCTAATTGCAGTGCCTCCGTCAAGCTAGGAAAAACAAAAACATGTTTGACTTCTGCTAAAACCCTGTAACCCCATTAGGCTTATTAGTGTAAGTAACACACAATAAAAATCCTGACACATGGTGCATGAATTTTATCTTTCTTCCCTTCAGGCTCTGGTTTCGACCCGTACACTCCGTTTCAATGGAGGGACATAATTAAGCTCTTTTATGCCGCTTTTCTTTTCTAATGCTGCTGAGGGAAAATGTCAAGGTTCCTCCAACTTGGAAAACTATTCATGAGAGTTGTTGTGGCCTTTACACTTGTTAAAGGCTCCGCATGTGTTGCTCACACTGCCTATTAAAATTAATCCACTGAATGCAACAGTGAATGTTTCTCGAACAGTTTTAATTTTTCAAACTGCATACCAAGCAGGTGTTCGCTGTCACTTGTGCAGGCTGCAAATCAAGGGTAACTATCTTCCAGTGCAGATGATGTTTAAGCTGTATTATAGCTGGAAACATCAGGGTAGGCATATTATTTATATTCTTATTATGAATCCACCCATTATTACTTATCCAAGCACAGCAACAAGATACCACTCACCACACCCAGAGTCTTTCATGACACTTTGATCGGTGCTGTCCTTGTTCATGCCTTGTCTCCTGTAACTGTTTGTCACTAACCACATAAATCGGCCAGATAAACAAAGTAGTCAGGACTGACACGTGCATCTTGTTGAAAGCTGTGACCTAGGAGCAGGATGCACTGTTTGTATTAGGTTTCACAGACCCTAAGTAGCTGATTATTTCTGATCACATGCTTGGACATGATGTGTTACTGCATTAATTGAACTGAGCCATGTCCTCGTGCATTTATTACATCTGTCACAAATAACAAAACATCTGTAGACTTGTTAAAAGTGATTCCAGATTTTGATCTCTCTCTTGTCTAACAATAAAACAGAGAAACATCTGCATCTCGCCCGTCAGGCACGTCCACGTCACTTCGCTGGCTTACAGAGATTCTAAACGAGCTCCCTGGCTCCTCTCATACCAAATCAAAAAGCCCGGACGAGGACAGCTGCCAGAGGGCCTCCTGTGATTTGCAGCAAAATCCATTTCTCACTGGCGCTGAATACAGATTAAACTACAATGCATCTTCAGATTAAAGCAATTAAACTGTCAGAGCTCTGAGGTGCAGTATCTCAACTGTGGAAACAAAAGGGGACACTCAATCCATAAAGGTTGTATTATGAGCTTGGTTTAAAGATGTTCAGTGTGACGTGCGAGAACAAACAGTCTCCTTAAGGACAATGCAGAGATAATGAAGCTGTGTGTGTGTTGTTTATGGATCTGTGTAAGTCCCTCTGACATTTATGTGTGTTTAGCAAAAGAAACAGTTACTAAGAGGACCTTTTACATCTCTCTTGGGACAGAGTGGCCTTAAAAAAATGCCTGGTTCAACTCCCACTCAGGGGTTTTTCTCCATGAGCAGCCATGTGTCTGATCTGTCTCTGATCTTACTCAAACACTTTGACCAGTGGAACCTTTTTAACTCGAGGTGCTGGGAATTCATTCACCATAATGAGACAAGCTGGGTGGAAACAAACAGAGGCACCCAAGATTAGAAGTGTTCAGAATTTTGGACCTGATCAAAAACTTAACCACAATGTCCTCCTGCAATATGATGTACCACATGAGAGCTGACCGGCAGTCAGTATCCACTCAGGCAACAGACACATTGCTGCATAGACCTGAGACAAGAGACAACACAACTCCACCCTACAGACGGGTGACAGTGTCCCCATCTGTAGGACACGTGGATGACCATGATGTGAACCAGATGCTGTGGCCTTCCCAGTCACTAGGTCTCAGCCCAGGTGAACAGCTATGGGAGACATTGGAGCGACGCGTTAGACAGCATCTCCACCACCATCACCAAAACACCACATGAGGAAACATCTGTTGGAAGAACAGTGTTCATCCCTCCAGGAAAGTCCAGAGACTTGGAGTCAGTGCCAAGTGGAGCTGTTCTGGTGGCGCGTGGTGGCCCAGCATCCCACTGGGAATATATGTGCAGGGGTTTACTTTCGTTTAGCACATGGCTGTTTGCTTGTGACCTGATCAGACCAGATACAATGTGGACCCACCCAGGCCTCTGCTACTCTAAACCAAGTGAACCTGCAGACACCCAGAGCACTGAAGCAGTGTGGAATACACTATTACTGTACATCCAATGTGTAACAGTTTCATTGTGTATTTACTAGGTCAAGTGATTCACTAAAACTGCATTTATTCAAATAATTTTAAGCAATTTGTCTGCACATATTTATTAACTTACTGGATGTTTGACATATATCAGATTAATTTGACCATGATTTGTTTTGTCTGTTGCACTACAGGGAAGCCATTTTCTGACAACAGGGACAAAGTTATGTCCTCAACATTGCCCTACAGTCATGTCTAATTTGGTCTGACTACAAATCTGTTCACTAAAAATTTCAATTCCATTCTGACAAGCAGGGATATCTATGTGTTGCTGCTCACCTGTCCATGGCTCCAGCTCACCTCGCCCCGTCCCTTCACACAGCTCTCCAGTCGGATGGGGCTCCCTGACACAAAGTGTTTACTCTCCATGCACATGTTGCTGCCCACGTTACGAATCTACCGCAGAAAGACACAACAGCTAAGTCGAATGCACAAGGACACAAGGGGCGTTCAGCTGTAAGTGATGATGAAGAGATGATGATCATTCACAGAGCAGCAGGTTTTCTTCTAAACCTGGACTCACTCAGGTGAGTTCTGTTGGCTCAGGTTTCAGGCTTATTGACTTAGCTCACAAGATTTGATTTTTATTATTATTATGATCTTGATCAAGCTCTTTGTGAGATATTTAATATGACTGCAATACAAGAGGCGACTGTACCTCTCCCCACGCAGCAGCAGGAGGCTCCACTGGTGGGTAGTGTTTTGGCAGATCCCAGGCCACCTCACTCATGAACCACTTGAAGCTTTTGCAGCCGAGCCCGTTCCTCAGCTCCTTCTGCGCAGTCATGTCTCCTGCCGACAGGTGGCGGTACTCGGGCCGACGCTGGTAGACGTATTCAGCGTATTCGTCCATCCACACCTCTGCCACACGCTTCAGGTTCTGAAATGAGAGTGAAAACATCAGCTTTCATTCCATGTTTCAGCCGTTCAACAAGATGACAGCAAATGACTGTCAGAGTACAACAGAGAAAACTACAAATATCAGAGCCACAGCAACAACAGTCTTGTGACTTTTCATCTTTTATGCAATATTAAGAAAAGTCATCAGGGTCAGGAATTAGTTTGGGCTGGAGCTTCAAAGCATACAAAAGGTTTCATCCATATGCTTCCATCTTGCTGTATCAATAGCGTTTAATTTCAGCCTGAGTGGAACTAGAGTGAACCGTGACTGCAGAGCAGGCAGCTTCATCAGCAGGTGCTTTCAGCTCAGACAATTGCAAAGATGAAAGATTTTCACCTGAACAAAGAGAAATCCATCCACCTGAAGTACTTCAGGTGTAAAGGGGTAAAAATTTCAGCTCCTGTCAGTCTTGGTGGTACGGGCGCATGTCTGGGAATACAGATGCCAGCAGCCTTGGAGGCATGGATGGTGAAATGAATAAGAATACAGGTTCAGTGAGCCTCCCAGGGAAGAACACATACAAATCCTCCAGTCTTTGGAGGTACAGATGTAGTGGGAAAAACCCTCCAGCCACACACTCACTCACACAGACTCCTCATAGCATAGTTCACTGCCTGCAGCTAAACTCTGTGCTCTCCAGGGGGAGTGGATTTCAGTGGTTCTGCCTCCCTCCATGTAGACCGGACTTGGGCAGGTCTACTCAGACACAGGCACACTGGACTATGGATGGATGTGTCCAGAGGGCCTGTGTTCTCAGTGTCTCTACCTGCTACAGAGAATCTACCCGATCCCGTGGTACTCTGCAAAATAATGATCTTCTCTATGCACAAAGCTTCTCTCTGTGAACCATGACAAAGGCTTACACAGATTTGCTTTAAAGCAACAGCAGTCAAGATATCCAGTCACTCATATAGTTACGTTCTAAAACACTGGGCCAAATATTCCCATAATGCACCTGAAATCTCGGTGTTAGATCCTCACATCTGTCAAACTACATGCCACCAGTTTGTAATTTACCGCCTTCAAGCCCAAGCAGGGGGAAGCAACTACAAACACCACAACTTTCTTCTATATTTAGACCCATTTCTCCTTATGCGCCTTTCATCTCTATAGCGCCAGGCAGACAGTACTAATTGCATCATCGATCTCAGCCGTTTTGTAATGTAATGTTGCCATGACCACTAAGACAAGACAAGCTAGATGCTGAGCAGGATTATGGATCTATTTTGGGTCTGAGCCTGGTCTTTGTTTCAGCTCAGACAGACTGGGTATGGTCTTCTCTGTTCTTCTTCTCCACTGATGTGTCACATCCGTCCACACTGGGATCTCAGTGTTATTGCAGGAGTGAGTTGGTATGAAAGATTTGTTTACTTTGTTGGAACCTTAAGGTTCCCACCTCAGGTTCATAATCCTTTGTCTGCCCACCCTCCCACAGAAGTCTGCCTGGCACTTCTTCTCTTTCTCTTACACACAAACACAAAAACATCTACTGTATCTACAGGCTCACTAATGTCATGAGGGTTTTTTAATTTGTGCCTAGTTTGCGTTTCACTTGGACATTATTGGCTGCGTAGTTAGCGTTAAATAAATCCCTTTTATATTTTAAACATTAAAATTTTAAACAACGGTGACTGTGGTTCTTTCTGGAATTTTATCTGAAGCCTCCCCCCGCCAGTAATGTATTCCAACTATCTTAATTACATCATTATTCACTGCTTTTGTAAATGTTGCTGTAGGATGATAACTAAATGACAAAGTTCATAATTTGAATAACTATATAAAACGATCAACTAATAATAACTATATTTGCCACTTATTTTGATCATTTTAATTACTTAAAATTCCAAACTTTGTGGTTAAGCATTACTGGGACTGATTTCAATACCCTGCTTGCACCTACACTGCTGCTGTGATAAATGTTTATGTGTGAAAACAACACATTTTCACGTCCACATGAATGGGCCAAAAATAACATGAAATCAGCTAATTGTTGCCAAACAACACCATTTTGCCGCAGCGCTCGTGTGACTCAGAATCTGCTCCCAAACTATGTCATCAAGTTCTTACATTTATGCCATTTTCTCCTCTACTGTAACTTGAGCATCAAACCTGATGGGCTGTTGCTTTGCCTGCCATTCTTTTGGAGCTATTTCAAAACACAAAACATTTGCATGATCTCCTGCACTTCAGACCGCCTCTGCGACAGCTGTTCTGTTGGACAAACCTGAGGGTGAGCTGGCTGCGAACTCAGTGGTTAATCAATATATAGCACTATCTGACCGACCAGGTATCTACTTAAATTAAGCAAATCTGCTGAAGGTATTTGATTCTTTTGAAACTGCTATGCAAAGAAGGACACAGGAGATTAAACTAAATTCTTCCCAGCCAGGGGTACAGTGAGCATTTCAGCTACTGCCTGTTCCCATCAGCATTCAGTACAGTCCGACTGGGGTCTAATGGTCAGACACACAAGACAAAACCAGAGGCCAAGAGGTTTAATTACATATTCCTCTGAGCCAAACAAAGCCAAGTGTCAGGCTGACACTGAACCATGCATAATGAACCAAATTCAGCTACAGGCCAGATCATTAAAAATATATTTTTTTCATACTGGGCTGCAGCGCTAAAACTAAACTGAGTAAAGAAAGTTGGGCTCATTATTGGGAAACTATTAGACCACGTTCACACTGCAGGCTGAAGTGACTCAAATCCGATCTTTTTGCCCAAATGCGACCCATATCGGATTTCCTTATGACAGTGTTAACAGCACAAATCCATTTTTTTCAAATCCGACCCAGGCCACTTTCATATGTGGTCCTAAATCAGATACGTATCCGATCTTTTGCAATGCGACTTCAGTCTGAACGGCCAGGTCGCATTTCATGCGATTTTTATGTCATTGAAATGCAACAGACGTCACAATTCTGCACTGGAGGAGGCGAGGGGTAATAAAAAATGGCATACAACGGTGATTGAGGTTGTGACAACGTTTCCCTTCTCACTTGGAAATTATTAATTAATTCTGTGTCCGTGAAGCCCCTCACGGAATCCCACCAGTCCTGGCTCCGACTCCGCAACCACACATTCCTCTGTACAGAGGTAGCAGCCACTGCTCCACAAAAGGCCATAAGCAATATTTGTGCTCTCCTTCTTCTTGATATTCTTCTTATTATTATGTCTTTATTTCGATTGCAAATTGTCAGGCACATCGCTACGCACATGCTATCACGACCCACATTCATTTTTATTTCCGCAAACAGAGTACGCTGCGTCTGACGTCACGTTCTCTTCTGCGCATGCGGGTCACTTCAGGGCCGTATACCGTTCACACATGAGACAGATTGCAGTCGCATTTAAATGACAGTGTGAACAACAGCGCAAAAAAATCGGATTTCGGCAAAAAATCCGATCTGAGCATTAAGACCTGCAGCTCTCCTTCTTCTTGATATTCTTCTTATTATTATGTCTATTTCGATTGCAAATTGTCAGGTACATCGCTACGCACATGCTATCAAGACCTGCAGTGTGATCTAAGTTGTAGTTTGTGGATGCTGGGGTCTGATACAGCTGATTTAAATGATGTTTTAAATGGTCAGTCCACCCAAATTACAAAATAAAAAAAGGTTTTTGCATTTTCAGTTTTATTTAGGGGATCACAAAGTCACCATGTGAATGATTTCCAACACTAGAACCAACAGCATTGCAGGACCTGGAGTTGGACTTGAGCATGTGAACTCATTTGGACTAACGGGCCATAATAATTAGGCATAAGATATTGATATGATATAATCCTGTTTGTTTGCACTGTGCTAATACAAAAACTCAAACTGTTCACTTCTAAGTCGTGTGTGTGCATTTGTTTGGCTATTGTGTCAAACTAAATAAACTCCTTTGAAAATGGTAAGAGCTGTGTTTAATGTAGCCTTTGATGACTCTGCCTCAGGTAACAGGGACTCGACTCAGACTCAAGGTTAATGACTCAATTACAACACTGAGTGCTAAGAGAACACCTGAATTTCATTCAACACAAGAACCCAAAGTCCGCAGATGCTACATGACAAGTAACAGTACAAAACGTTTGTGTAAATGATAATAGTCTGAAACTGGAAAAGTCATTAATTAAATAGGGAACTAAGTCAACAAAGAAGTCGGAAAGACTACAACTGTGACCAGATGTTTGATGGTAGACTGGGGAGTTTTGGCAACTGCAGTTTACATGTCTCACCGCAAATAATGTATCTGAATTGGTACAAAAAAGTGTTTAGGTTTGACAGCCATCCCCAGCTGGCAAAGCCTGCCACCACTCAGTACAATGGAGATGAATGGGATTTAGTTTGTGGTGCTCAAAACATCCAAAACAAAGTCTGTTCTACTCTTGCTCATCAATAGACATCACTGTTCTCAGTTCGGGTTAGAACCCACGGGTGTTTTGTTCTGAAAATGGCAAATAAAGAAGCAGAAAAAGAAAGTCTGGAATGGCAGCAAACATTTCAGAAACATCCCAGAAATGAAACCATCAGCACGACTAGCATGATCATAGGTCATTTGTACACAGTAAGAAAGCCTCTGCGCAATCTACAACAGGTCTGATATCTAACCTTGAGATGGTCACAGGCAATAAAGACAGATAATATTAAAGATCCTTGGGTCCACATGAACACACCAGTCAAACAATCTAAGACTCACCCTGGCCAAGCTGACCCCACCAGGAACTTTGTAGGGGACATACTTCCTGTAGATGTGTCCTACCCTGGAGCAAGGGATGTCCTCCATCCGACCGCCACACATCCACACCTATAGAGAGAGATAAAAAGATGATATGTGGGGGCGTCAAAGCTGTCGTGCTGGTGTTTGTACCATGTAACTGAACAGTGAATATCAGATGAGCTGACAACCAAAAAAAAAGAGAGAAACACAGTGGACTGTAAGAAAGTCAAAGCGTGGGAAAACATAAAGAAGACAAAGCAGTGGAGGGAGGCAAGGTTAGGAGAAAGAAAAGGCAAGATGGTCAAGGTGGGAGGACGACTGTTCCACAGGCACGAGGCGTTTTATAGTCAGCGCTGAGGCATAGTGAGCTACATGTAATTAAGCTAGTAGTTTAAAGTAGCTTGCTGGTTCAACTCCATTCATATTTGCACAGTGATTCAAGTAGTTAAACTATTTTTTATACCATTTTAGTGTAGTTATCTACTATGCCTAGAAAGTACTTTAGGCCATAAAAGGAAAGGAATGATTTTAATTTTTATTTGACCCTGTTGCATGTGAGCAGCTTCTCAGCGAGAGATTCTGCTCCGACTTGTAAAAAGACAGGCCCATTATTTAGACCAGTGATCAAGCTGTTCATATGGTCTAAAAAGATGCAAGTTAAACATTTTTTCAGTTAAGATTGTACAAGTCAGATGTTACAAAATGGACCGGTAAGACAGCAGACCTGTTTTTAGACCATAGCTCAATTTGGTCAAACGGTTTCAAAAAGGTGCAAGTTAAGATTCTTCTCATCACTGTTTTAATGAGACGACAATATTTAGATTAGTTGTATATTAGGGTCGTATATGTTTACAGGGTCAAGAATCCTAGGAGGGATTGATAAAGACACGTCTGTGCAGTCTGACTCATGTTCATGATTAATAATGCATTAGATGGGACCAGTAGATGAAAGCTTAAAAAAACTGCAGATGTTAATCTTCTGTGAGCAGTGCTCGAGTGAGACAACCTCCAAACTGCTCGTAAGTACATGTGTTTGAGAGAGCGTAAATGACATCAGTAAGAACGAGGCAAGTCAGCCATGCTTAGTGACATGACAAAGACTAAAACTGGATTTGTTAAGCTACTTAGGAAAAGCAGAGCCAACTTTCAGTTGTTTTACTTAGGCAGGTGTTGAGCTGCGCTGGAAGAACTATTGTACTGATTTTGACTTTTTCACCCCATCTATCTGAAACACATGCTTGATGTCAGCTGACCATCTGACCTAAACTCACACATATTCAATTTATAACAAGAAAACGAAAAAAATACAAAATCCTCATTTAAACTGATTATTAAAGTTTTTTTATGAATTTTCTGCTGAGTGACAAATCATTTCACACTAATCACTCAATCTTACAGTAAAAAGGAAAACCAAAGGCTTATTGAAATCATGTAAAATACACCACAAAGAGTATGTAGTTGAACATTCTAGACAAAAATATCCAGTATACATGACCTCTAGTTAATGAGCTACTTGCAAACACGCTGGTCCTTTAGAACAAATTACCAATTGAATTCCTTTTCAGCTGATTGTGTAATATGCACACCTGTGGATTCAATTATGTCCAATTCAAACACAATAAACCGTGCTGGGTTATTCATATTTTCCCTGACCTCTCCTGCCTCCTCGTAGCATACCGGCCTCCAGGCTACTCCCGCTCCTATCGTGATGAGAATCTCTCAGGTTCAGTCTTGAAAACATCTTTGATAAAACCATTTTTGAAGTTCTACTCCATCAGGACCTCAGCAGGTTGGAGGTCAGCTTCATTCTCATGCACATATGATGGACACAGACTGGCCACAGGGGAGTCTCAGAAAGTCAGAATGAATGAAAATGTTGCTCTTTCCTTGACCTGGGTGTTCTTTTGGTTTGTACTTGGCAATTTCCAGCTGGTTGGTTGATATTCTGCATCGTCCGCCTTCCTCATCCCCCAGAGTGGACATCAGCTGGCTGCTATTTCAGTTCAATTACTCCCTGTCAGGTTTGTTGCACCACTCTAGCTTAGACTAACAGAACTTGGTGGAAAAAGCAGACTGAATGCACCTTCTCCACATCTCGCCGTAGGGAAGGTCTGTCCTACCGCGCCAATTCCCTCCATCCTCTTCATCCCGGCGCTGAAACACTCAAGCTTAATAACAGGGGCGCCTAGCTGCACAGGGGATCAGGAGCTTGAGTTCAGCACCAGTCAGATTAAATTGAAAGCCTTATCACTCACCTTTAACACACAACCTATACAAAACACAAACACTAAACCCACAGCATCAATGTGCAGGATGATACTTCTCTCTCTTATAAACAGAATGAACTTTATTTAGTGCCGACGACCCCATCCATCCTAACAACAAGTTATTCACATGCACAGAATTAATCTGATTATTTCTGATTGTGGGCAGTAAGCAGATCTTTCAACTGTTGTGAAAATGAGGAGCATGGCTTCCTTTGTGAGGTTAGGAGACAGAGAATCCTACTTAATAAAAGGTAACTGTTACTTGGAAAACATGAGATACTTTTGGCTATGCATACCTCAACAACACCACTTGTGCTCAGGAACACCTCAGAGAACCTCTAAGTCTGCATGGCCAAAAGGTTCTCTGAGGTGTTCCTGAGCACAAGCAGTGCTGTTGAGCAATGCTGTTATCAGTATACCTCGGCTTAGTTTGTTCCTCATGAAAGCAGACAAGGCTGCATATGTATTCATGCAGGCAAGGTAATACACATTCCTGCAGACAGGTTCCCACTATTTCACTGATGAACATTTGTTGGTGGCGGCATGCAAATAAATGAAGCAACGCACCAACAAAGGAAAAGGGAAGAAGGTTGCGACCGACTCACTGTGGTGAGTTCACACGTCTTCTACCTTTGGTTTTAGGTCCCCTCCAAACTGAACTCGAAACTCAAGCCGCTCAGTTACTGACATGGGAAGTCACCATACTTCAGTCGAAGTGAAATGAATAGCTGGTTATTTGCTCGTATAGCTGTTACTTATTAAAAGCAGAGTCACAGTGTTTCTGGTCTAAACTTTGTACAATCAACGATATAATAACATTTGGATTTAATGTGCTCAGTCTCTGAGGATGCCTGTACTCTGTCTTTAGCTATTCTAGTAAAGATTCAGCACTCCATGTTCTTAAAACAATCTTTTAATTAAATTAATATTTTTATAAAATCCAATATTTTCAAACCTCTAGTTCCTATGCAGTAGTTTGAATCAGTGGACCGGTTTGTAGACTTGGTCAGTTTTCTCCTTGGTTCAGTTTCTTTTTACCCAGAACTGAACCAAAATGCATCACTGCACATCACAAGACAATGTTAAGTGTGTCTGGGGTGGGATCGAGGATGTGAACACAGGAAGAAGATCTGTGTTCTGTACTGGTGAATAGTCCTATAAAAAGATCTTTACTCTACAACATGGAGAAATGGCACAATTGGAATTTGCTCATAGTTGTGGTCATTATCTGGGCAATATACCAAACACAACGAGACTATGCCAACAACAGCATACAGGGGCAGAACAGGCTACTCCATGCAGTGGATCCAGGTGAGATCACATTCCCGCCACAAACAAACCACTCCAGAGCTCATTTGGGACTGGATCGAGACCACATCCAGTAAAGGCTCTAGGTGTGGTTGTTTTGGTCCACACCGGAGTGCGACTCCTCTGCTCCTTCTCTGCTCTCAAACTGCTCTTTCACGCCCCTGCAAAAACTCTGTGAAGCAAACTGCTCCGGTGAATGATCTGGTCCTGTGTAATGTGTGCATGTCACTTACAGTAGCTTCACTTCTTGCACTTTGAGTTGTAATTTTAAATGGACACAAATGGCCACGCTCAACCCACACTCAGCCCACACTCAATAAACCATGATTATAAAGTGAAAACGTGCTGTTGGACATTTTTACAAATTGAATAAAAATGAAACACCTAAATCTGAAGGAGGCTGAATCATCTCTAAAGCCACTACAGTATATAATGAATTCCTATTATTCAGTATTAGTTAGTAAACAAACAGGGTATGCCTTAGTATGAAGAAACAGCAGAAGGCAAATCAGTTTCAACTGTGAATTCAATTTGTGAATTCATTCTTTATAAACAACTAAGCTATGGTGTTGGGAATCTGACTCTGTGGAACAGCTGCAGTAGAATCACACTGCAGCACATGTCACATCAGATCAAACTACCCAGCAGTGGCCTTTGTGCTTAACTGAGTGAGACGACAAAAGACTGTAGTCATTCAAAGCAGAATTCAATTATTGTGACGGGCCGCTCGGTGCGTCCAGAGCTTACTGACAAAGGCAGCAGAGAGGAGACTGAAGTGGGGGGGCTTGGCTTTAACATGCAGGTCAATTTGCACACAGAATAATTCATGCTGAGCCACAAGATACAAGCATTATCTAATGACGGAAACAAGGGTAGAAACTACTGTAAAATGAGGAGTGTCTCATATTCTCAGTGACCCTTGTTGCTGTGCAGTGAAAGAGCTGTGGATAAACAAATAAGTGTCGTGCATTGTCAAAACACTGCAAATGTTTTGTAGATGTCTGAGCTTTAAAGAAATTCTAAATTAAATACAGTACATGATTAAATTTTTGTACAACCTTCTCTGTCAGAAACAATATAAAATCTAACATCATTTAATATAAACCAATTAAAAGTAGAATAAAGAACTGTATAGTAGAAACAATATTAGCTATGTTTCAGTCTGATTCACTGTCCCGATCCCAGGTGACACTGGGCAAAAGGCGGAGTACACCTGGACAGGTGGCCAGTCCATCACAGGGCTGACACACACTCACACTCACACCTGCAGGGAGTTTACAGTCACCAGTCAACCTAAGCATGTCTCTGGACTGTGGGAGGAAGCCGGAGCACCTGGAGGAAACCCCACGCAGGCACAGGGACAACATGTTGGCTCCAAACCTCAAGGCCCCGGCCAGTCCCAGAAGCTTTTTGCTGCGAGGCGACAGTGCTAACCACTGCACCGCTGTGTCACCTAGTCATGATATGACTTGCAGAAATAACATTTCTTAAACTATAATTTCCTAGCAGCTGCTACTGTTCGCCTATTCTGTGTCCACTGACAACAGGTGGACAACACCAGTCACTATTGGCTGTTAAAGATAAACTACTCCTTTGCCAAAAGACAAAATAAGCACAAAGAATATAACACACTGAGACTGAGCACCAAAATGAAATCTCAATGTTTCTAACGTGGGATGAACTGTACATAAATATGTGCTACACAAGGTTACTTCTGCTAAACATATGAAAACACAGCACAGTCTGCAGCTCGGTACAAACAGAGTGACACAAAACACACAAGAACCCACAACACTCCCCTCCTGAGATTTACTGTAACACAGAGGTCAGAGTGACGCTGCAGACGATTTTCACTTTTACCTTAAAGGAGATCTCGTACTGCTCTCCTCCCCAGATCTCCAGACCCGTGTCGTATCCTCCCAGCTCCCAGAACCACTTCCTGTCCACAGCAAACAGGCCACCTGCCATCACCGGTGACCTGAAACACACAAAGATATGCACAATCACAGACAAATAAAAGAAAAGAAAGTATTGCATGAAATGCGCATGCAATGAACAAAATAGTTTTGGGGGACTTTTTTGTCTTATTTTATGGCTGACAGTCGAGGTACCAAGAAATGACATGTAACAAAACAACGTTATCTGACATTCTTGTTAAACAAACAAGACTGTGACATTGTAAATGACAGCCTAATCATTTTTGAACAAATTTAGTGATTTCACACTTTGTGTCAAAAGAGGGAAATAAACCTATTAGACATGACAACCCATGTATTTGTGTTAAAAAGGCTCATGGTGCATGACTATAAACAGATTTGACTCAACATGCTCCTACAGTCATAATTCCAACTTTTTAACCCCCTGCAGGGTTCCAGGCTAAGATTTCATCATGGTGGGACTGGTGCCACCAAGTCTCTCAGATTCGGTAGCACCATATCTGTTTTGAAGCATAAGTAAAAAGGTGCTAAAGAGGCCAACGGGTGATCGACCTGGTTAAACAGCTGTCTGTGGTGATTCCACTTCAAATGCAACAAAGGAAAAAATACACTCAAAGTGCAAACAAGGGGTCCAAGGATGACCAGTGTGTCTCAGGGTCAGTGTGGATTGACACATTTGATAGACTGGAAATCTCTGCTTCCTGAGACGAGTGAGTGACAAACCTGCAAAAAAAACGCTGCGTTGACAGTATCGTGGAGATTGTTACGTCTGCCATTTCTATAGTGAGAGCATTCGTTTGTGCATAACCTGTTTGTTCTGCAGTCACACCCACTAGGACCTTAAATAAATTTGGTTGGAAATGCAACTGATCATTCACGGCCTGGAGCCCTGCCCTGCATATACAGTAATTAGGTGTGTGCCTCATTCGTCAGATTAGTGCCTTGCTGCACTCCTGATCGGTGCACTGCTATCACTTGGCTTATTTTCCAAACTAGAGTTGCTCAGCTCCATTACATCCTGTTTTTGACCATCGAGAATTAAATCAGGAGAAATGCAGACTGTGATACGACTCGGGCTTCTTCCCTCCCCAGAATCAGTTTTTATGTGTTTAGCAATCCAGTGACACTGCACAGAACAAAACCAATTAACCCACCGAACCACTGTGACGAGATGTGCTGTGCCAAACAGCATAACGTCCTCAGCTGGAACCACGGTTCAAAGATACACTTCTCTGCAAATCAGCACACTGAGGGGGGTTATGAGAAAATGGAGGTCACAGAGGTTTGCAGAAGAACTGACACACACATACACCTCCCCAAATTTCAACAGTGCCTTGAGCAGACCTTAGCACATTTACTGCAGCACACTCAAATCACTTTCACACTCTTTGTCTATTCACCCAGCTGCACTCCCAAGCACTCACACACCAGTGACATAACTGGGAGCAACTGGGGATTCAGCGTCTTGTTCAAGGACACTTCGCCATGTGAACTAGAGTAGCTGGGAATCAAACCGCCAACCTTTCGGTTAGGAGATGACCTGCTCTGATGACAGAAACCAAAGATGGGCGCTTCTGCCACTTCTCCTCTTTGGACGACATGGTGGACGGCGTGTTTTGAGACTTTCTGATTGCACAGTCTGTGTTTGTGCCTTTCTAATAAAGAGCAGATTTTAAACTTGTAGGAAAATGGGATTCAGGCTTGAATGAGTAGAGACGTATCGCCTCCCAACTCTTTAAATATGTTTTCCCACACTGACTTGATTCGCTTGACTGGGTTACAGTGAATGCTGGAGAAAGAAAAATGAAGATAACACAAAGCTGACACACAAACACACACCTTCTAGGCTTTCCTCAGGAGACAAAGGATAGAGGAATGGGGTGAGTCGTGTGTGTGTTTGACTTCACAACGAGTAGTGAATGCCAGCTGCTGTATGGCCACTGGAGTGTGCGAGCTGAGCGAAGAGAGCACAGACACTGTGCGGCCACAGATTTGAGGGGTGGAGACGGTTAGCTCTTGTTCGCCAGAGGGAGAAAACACAAACATACTTCACCTCCCTGGAGTTGTGCCGAATGAAATACAGACAACAGTGACTCCCAAACCCCCAAACCTGGTTGAAAGGAACCCCCCAAAATGCACAATGTAATTTGCACGCTGGTTATGAAGGTTTTTGTTTTATATGTTTGAAGAGTGTCCTGTTGCAACAACTACAGAATATCATAGTAGTTCAACTCCAGGCTGACAGGGTTGTGTCATGTGTGTCTGACCCTGTGACTCTGCAGTGATTTACCAAAAGTGACCTTTCTCTTAAGCTGTAAACAGAATTTTGCTCAAGCATCCACGTGAATGTTCATAATAACTCGGTGAATACAGGTTACAGCAGGAGCAGTAACAGCTCTCTCCCTTATTCTGTCAAACAGTGAAGCACTATTCAAAGCCTGATGAGCACCCCTGTAGTTGCACAACACTGAATTTAAAATGATAATGTGCTGACCCCGAGCCACCGCTCACACTGCTGCTCCTGTGTTGCTTAGCAACTACATTGTTTAGCAGCTGCTGGGAGGCATGTAATTGAATTTATTCTTAAAACAATGGTGGGCCCATATTATATACAGTATATTTAAATAAATCCCACAAGTTACTGTGCCAACACAATAAACTATAAAAAAAAATGAGGCTTGTGGTCAGTGCACCTTCATTGATAATCGTGTTTGGTAATTTTTGTTTTTCGTGAAACGTCTCAGCCACTGTTGGGTGTTCTACTGCCACAGGCCTTGATACAGATGCAGCAAAGCTTTCTGAAAGTTTTTATGGATCTATTTCATGGAAGTAACTCAACATCAGCTGGATTGGCACAAACGTTTGTTGTAAATGTATCCTAATGACATTTGTGGTTTTGAGTTAACGTCTCTGTTTCAGTGACAGTGACTGAAATACTGTTAAATTTGGTCTTGTAAAAGTATCACTGCAGAGTTTTGCTTTTAGCCAGGGTGCAGCTCCACTGAATTAACACTGACCAGCACTGACTCAACTGGCCTCAGTGCTTCCAGAAAGAACTAAGACACAATACAAGTAAAACACTGGCTTTATCATTTGCCCAGGCTGTGTATGAAGCTGCAGGACGTTCAGGTCAGATATTGAAATTTGAGAGTGGAACCTTGGGCAGACTCTTAATTGGTCTTTGCTCAGCTATTTACGTAGTTGAGGCTGTATTTTAGTTGCACATAGTGTTCTATATTCTCTGTTTCTATACCAAAAACTATTTTTATTAATTTTAGACGGTTTTCCTGTGTTAAAGTAGCTAAACAGCTGCTGGTGTTTTTATGAGCAGGAATCATTTTCTTCAGCTGTTGGTCTTCCTTAGTCACTGCTCTTTGGTAAGTGTCACTGTGCTGGAGAAAAAAAGATTTAACTTGATGGTCCATAAATATTCCAACTCACAATTAAGATTTAATTAGAAATGCTCAAGTTCTCCATCTTAGTCCACTGACCTTGAGGAGAGAGAGAGAGCTAAGCTCTGAGCTCATAAATGAAACATCAAGCCTGAAGGAGGGATGAGGGATGGGACTGACAGAAAGAAAGAAAGAGAGGTGATGGCACTGACAAAAGAGACAATGACAGAGGCATGAGAACAAGGATAAAATCATATTCCCACACACACACACGCCTCCAAGATGGATTCTGCTGTCCCACAGAGGCTCATTCTTCGCTGCGACAATGTCAATCAGAATGAAAATGAAAATCTTTGCGACTCAAATTGGATTTGCACTGATGAAGGTCATTTCACTGGGCAAGAAGAGCAGACTAATTCACGAAATGAGGATTGATTCTGATTGTTCTGCTGCTCATCCTTCTTCCTTTGTCTCTTATCTTCCTGCACCACAGCTGCCCCGCATCACCATACCTACTGTATTCCCAGGACGCTCATAGAGAAACATCCAACTAATCCCCCCGAGGTTTACAAATGGTGTGTCTGGCATTGCATGCAGAGTTTTAGACAACAAAGTCTGTCTCTGGGTAGGGCTGGACAACAATATCAATTTTCTGATTAGCCGCGATTCTTTTTTAAAAAAAATCAATACTTGAAATCCTGCGATCGATTGTTGCATTTGCATATTTCATCAGTAAACAACTGCAGTAAATGTACGTGAATACAGATGTTACTTGTTATCCTGTAAGTGGTTCAGTTCAGACTGCATGGTGTGTAAAATGTCTTCTTTGTGGACGAGTTGTTGCAACATGCACAAAAAGGTTATTTTTAGTTATAAATTAACATAGAAGAAAGCTGGCTGTATCAGCTGTGTTGAGTCAAGACAAACTGTAAACAGGCTACACTTTACAGCCTATAGTGACTCAGGAAGGTTAGCAGACTCGTAGCGGACCTAGAAATACTGCTGACGAGAAGGACGGGCCGAAAAAGACATACACACACACACAGGTCTGAACTCTGCGTTTGCTTTGTTGAAGAGATATGGTCTCTGACTATGAGATGTGAGGCCGTGGAAGTCAA